ACAAAAAGAACCCACACCCCCCCCCCCTCCAAATTATTAAATATTTAAGTTAATTTTTAATTAAAGAACTCCATCTGAATTGATCCAAACTGAAAAAGTAAAATTCCGAACCGAAAAAAACCAAAACATTTGTATCAACCAGAACCGAAAACGACAAATTCTAATCCATCCGAATTCTGGATAACAAACCGGATTGAATTGTGAATCCCCCCAAAAATTAAATTGATCCAAAATGAAACAAGACGTTGAGCCCTTACATGTCTAATAAATATTCAAACAGATGAAATAAATATTATAAACAGATTACAAGTTGACTTCCTCTTTCAGTGCCATAGTTCATCTTTTTTTTATCGTGAAACTCTGAATCTGAAAGTTTATCCCAAAAACTAAAATATAATATATTGTGGCTCGCCAGTCCTTAGATATGGTTGACACATTCATTTTTGTTTTTTAGGCTTTTCTCCTTCATTTTTACCTGATGGTTCTGCCAGTAACAAGGTTATCTCCTAGTGTACAAAGCCTGCCTTACCATACCTTTGGATGGGCAACATTGTCGTTCTTGAACAGGAAATGTGTTAGGACTAAAAAAAAAACTCCCCTTCCCCTCATCTCAATAACATGGCAGTGTTCTGTAGTTCCCAGAGTTGAGTACTCTAAAGAACTGAGCAGAGGTTGAGGCAATATTACAGAATGCACAGGAAACCGTTGGATTTCTTGCAGAATCAACTGGTATCGTTTCTGCATGTATCGAACAGACATTATACATTCAATTATATATTTAACAGACCAAAAGAGAGCAAGTTAGAGTAGTTCATTGCTAGGGATTACATACACTTTAAGTGCACATGGCAGTCACCTGTATATATATTAAAGATGACCTCCAGGCAAGCTGCTAAATACACACATGAAACATATATAAGAGTAATAAGAGTATAAGAGTAATATACCACTGATGGACTATAATCTCACGTTTAGTTTACTAACTTGTATTGAGATTGTAGTCCATCTCAGGAGTGCGCTTGGAGCGGTGACTACTTTAAAACACACACAGGGACCATGGGGAACGCAAGTAGCCCCCCTCCAGAAGGAAGGACAGTGTCAGCACCATTTCGGAGATGATTGGAGGATCTACAGCCGAGTGATACACAAATAAGATACATTGTTGTTCATAATTAAGGAACTTGAATGTATTTTTAAGATTTAATTCCTGAGTTTAGTGTCACTTTAATGGCAAAGAACAGAAGTATCATGAGCACATGGAAGTGCCCAGATAGCAAGGATAACGTGCCACAAACTTGTGGCAGGGTGAAATTGTAATTTTTGTTAACTTGCTGCACATTCCTGGCAGGTTGTAGACTTGCAGAACACTCGCAGCACAAGTTCTAGGCGACACTTTTTGAATTTGTAGCAAATTTGCTTGGAGAGTCTACAGCAAGAGTCCTGCAGGTCTTAGCAAGAGATCTGCAAGCTCGCTGGTCTGGAGACTTGCAATGCGGACTTGCTGTAATTGTGCAACAAAATTGTGAAGCTCGGCAAGTCTGCAATAGTTTAGCAAGTCATTTTCAAACTTGCAGCTCAATTGCTTGCTATCTGGGTGACCACCAGGAACATCCTGCTGTGTGATGAATTGCAAATACAATGGGAAATGGAAAAAGATTGAATGGGAGATGTAACATGTTTAGCTGTTGTGTGTTTGTAAACTCTTTATCAATGAACTTCGCTTCCTTTTGGTCTGTTAAATATATCATTGGAAGCATTTTGCTATAACTGATCGATGAGTGGAGAAAAAACAGGTCTACATCATCACTCATTGAACAAATGTGACTCACCTTCTAGCAACAACCTAGTAAATGACATATAATGCATGAACCTTACAACACCACGTTTAGAATCAAATTCTATATCCTCAGCTCTGCTCATATTTATAGATCTGTTGCATGTAATTAAATGGAATTCTAATTGGGTAGGGAGGGTGACTAATAAGCTTGGGAGGAATCCCAATGGTTCCACATCTGTGTGTTCCTTTTTCTTTTCCTATGCCTTCATATAATGCATGTGACAGGTGTTAAAGAACTAATATATTTTACATGCACCTGTGTCCAGCAAAAACACAAATAAAGTGTTGCTGACTCTGCCTTACTGTGGTGCTGTGTATCCAGGCTCATGTGAACCAATTTGATGATTGCTACAGAGCAATGAAACCATTTTTGCTGTAATATCGAACTACAATAAACACATTTCTTAATATATATGATGGTGTATGAATTCTAAACATTTCCATTTGCTTTATTGGACTGGTAAATGAATCTACTGTAATAATGTTTTCTTGTTTTCATTTATAGTATACCGAAACCAAAGAACAAAAATGTAGTATATTTGTAGCCCTGGCTGGTGGCCCCTTTAAGCCAGTGACGTGCGGTGGAGTCCGTGCCTGGGTGAGGCACTTCCCCGACATGCCCCGGGCCCACCCCCAGCCTC